CGCGAGGATGACCTTCACGACCCCCGCCGGGGCCGGCGCGAAACACGCCCGCTGCTTTGCGCTCTCCACCGTGGAGTGGAGGAGGTGGATTTTAAACCGCCGCCGCGAGTCCGTCCCTGGGCCGATCCCCTCCATCTGCTCCAGCGCCTGCTTGGCCGCCACCAGCTCCTTCCAGCCCGGGAGAAAAACCAGGATCGACTTCCCGGCCGTCTCCCCTTGAAGGTCCACCTCGATGCTATAATGGATCAGGTAGGCAATGAGCTGGTAATCCAGCTTGGGTAGGCTCTGAAGGCTATTGTAGCGCTTTCGAGGCGACGAAGCCCCACCACTATTTCGGTAATCCCTAGAACACCTCAACGGGCGTGCGTTCATCGGATCAATAGTATCAAACATGCGACTGTAATACGAACGCAAATTAGCTCCAGGATTCGCCGCGATCGAGGCAATATCCTCTAAATAGCGCACCTGGACAGGATACACCGCACCCTCCACATTGATTACCTTTGATATACCAAAGTACGAAGCAAATTGCGAGGAATGCATCGTGGCGCTCATAAGAATAATTTTTAGCGTTTTATTTTTTACAAGAATCTGCTTTACCAGGGCAAGAATCATATCACAGTTGATATCGCGTTCATGAACTTCATCAATAATAAGATGGGTAACGTGTTCGAGGGTGGGTTGCGAGGACATCACCTGGAGTAAAACTCCGAAGGTGCACATATTAATATGACGGCCGATTTTAGCCTCAAAGCGGACCGCATAGCCGACTTCGTCGCCAACCACACTAAGGCGCTCCTGCGCGATACGATCAGCCACGCTGAAGGCGCTTATTCGACGAGGCTGCGTGACGATGATATTACATCGTGCACCTCGCCCTGCTGAGATCTCCTGATCAAAGATATACTGGGGGACCTGTGTGGTTTTACCGCATCCTGTCGTCCCGCAGATCACAGTAACCGGATTCTTGGCAATGCTGTCGAGGATTTCGTCCTTGGCGCTGGCAATCGACAATGTGGATTGGCGGGAGTAAAACTTATCCAAAAATACTTGATTAGCATGCATGTTTTGAAGGTTTCGATGGAGGTGTTCAGCATAAGTTGAATCCTCTCGTGTGGCATTCTTTTTCAATTTTTCCAGCACTTCCTCTTCGACCTCCCCTGATGTTTTGTGAGCCTTTTGTAAACTCGCCGCGGTATGCAAATCACTGCTGCCATCTGGAGGAAACTGCTTGTTAATTTCTTCTATTTTTGCCCGAATGCGTTCACTAAGATGGGACGGAAGGACAGCTTTTGGTACTATAGACGGGGAAACGTTTGGATATTGCACCATGAAGTCGTTTATCGATATTAAGCGCTCATCGTAGAGCTCAAGCTGGGAAAAGGCGGCCTTGACGGCGTCACGCTCCGCCTCAAAGCGGCTAATCCCCTGCCCTTTGCACGTTATCCCACATAAGCTAAATTCACAGATAAACGTATTGCCATCCTTCGTGAAATCCACCACTGGTTCCTCGGCATCATCAAAGAGCAAGCGGTATAACCCGTACATCGTATCGTAATGACTGCTAAGGCTGAGGAGAATCGACTGCATCGGTGCACTACTCCTGATTGGGCTGCTCATGGAAGGCGCTGAAACTGATTCTTTCCTTTCCAAGGTTGTCAACGCCTTGGATGAAAAAGAAGGAATAGTCATTTTAGTTGAATTTGGTAATTGCAGTGGATGTTCTTGATTGAGAAGTTTTAAAATGATAAGGGCGTGAACGGCGCATAGCCGTTTGGCTTCTTTTGCAGAGTTTGATACGCCCATTGCAATGAGATCCGTTGACTCCTCGAATATTAAACTAGCTGCAAACACTTTATTAGCTACACGAGCAACATGAATAAGATCTTTCCCATTGCAGATTTTGTTATTAAGTTTCGATAGAGCCAAATGAAGTTGAAAAGAGCTTTCCACATTCCTTCCCTTTTCCAAAAATTCCCGTGCACCATTTACAATATCATTGGTGGAATGAGGAATACGCATTGTCATAAGCATATTCTCACGCTGCCTTTTTTGTTTTCTATGAATATAAACTTCACAGTTATGAACATAAGTACTCCAGCCTTCTGAAGAATCCGGCCGACGTGGAGGGAAAAGCGACGAGGGCCTCTCGAATGAAGGACCCTTTTTCAAAGGAGGACTCTCCATCAGCGGAAAAGGTGGAGAGGACGAGGGATCTTGTTTTACAGAGTAATAATCAATAAGCTTTGCGGCATGCATAAAGCATAGTATTCTCGCATTCCTATCACGTGTAGATTGCCCAACAGCGCTCACAAGACGCCCGTCTACGTGAAAGGATAGGATACACTGCTTTAAATTACTTCGCGGAACTTGTTGGATAAATAACCGATCAATGCTGTCCATTTTACCATGAAAATGGAAATTTGTAGAAGTCGCTGTATTCTTTTCGACATTTTGTTGGCACGCTAAGCTATCGCGAATGAAATTTTCCACCTGATGTTCTGCCTTCATATTCATGTCAAGAGGGGAAACCTCCTCGAAAACTATACCCAAACTTTTGGTATGATTTTTTTTTTTTCCAGGTCTAACAAGCGTGGAGGAGGGCATAACCTTAAAATGGTTGTCTTTAGAACAATGTTGTTGAATATTTGAATCACTGATATCGGAATTGGCTGAGGTTGTAAAGGAAAGGCTCTTATACGTCGGGGGTTTCTTTAAAGAAAATGAAGAACCTCCATTTTGTTTATCCTCAGGGATTTTATCAGCATTCTCAGGTACACATAAATGCTGATGCGTACTTTTACCCACATTGATTTCTGTAGAACCAAAAGTTTCTAGTTCCCGATGTGGTAAACCGATAAAATTGTTTGCCTTACGGCTAGCATAGGTTTGAGTTGATATCTTCAACTTGCTCCATATGAGAGGAGACTGATAAGATTTAAGATAATTGAATAATGGCGGAACGCAAGAGGAAATACGGATCCGGGAAGTTGTCTCAAACATTTTTGCTTTTTGGAACAAAACAATATGAAGAGAATCATGAAAATAAAGAAGATCACTTGAGTCAATAGTAAAAAAAACATTTAAATAACGCACTCCAAATGTAATTCAACAGCAAATTAGATAGCTACCAGATTGCTTTTCATACGTTTTGTCTAATTTTAAATACAACATACTATATATATATATATATATATATATAGA